ATTTTCAGCAGAAAATTGCTCAAACTTAGTCAGAATCATCTTGGGTAAATGAGAGTTTTACTTTGTAAAATTAGGATTCCTGCCCCATCCCCAGGGGCTAGGGCGGGGCCCCAAAGGGAACATTTACCAATATTTTCAAATTCTTATCCATTGATGACATGACAAGTATTGTATTTCACTTAGTTTACATGCTGATTTCCACATCACATCTAAACAATAAAATAAAGCTACCAGTATCTATGATATAACTCAGGTGACCGCTAAGGCCCTTGGGCCTCTTGTAAAATATCAGCCTTGACAATTAACATCAACACAGGGAAAATGAAATCACTCAGTTGTGGAACTGATGGAAAATTAAAAGAAACATGGAGCCAAGACAGATATTCATGTGGTAGTATTTTAGTTACAAGTGGGTGAATTTATAACTGAAATAGGAAAATAAATTAAAGCTGATCAAGGGGAAATAAAGTCATGCCAAAATTGGAGAGGGGAACTGGCCCATATTCGGCCATAAAAAAGGCCTGTATATATCCGTGTACTGGGTACAATTATGCAATCCCTTTTTTTAAAATATAGGAAATGCCATTTTATATACTATTTTTTAAGCTTCCTTATATTTGTGTAATGTCTGTATGATTTTGTAGTCATTAAAAAAGTCAGTAAAATATTGGATTTGTTTTTTAACAAAATATTTTGTAATTTGGGGAAACTTCTTCACTTACTATTAGCTCTTGTCTTTATCGGTTTTATTTATTTCATTTTTTTTCTGTTTGTAGTGAAAGAACTTGCTACATTACATGACAAACACTTAAATCGACCCACACTGGATGACAGTGTCCAGGAGGAACATGCAATAGAAATACAGACTCAGGAGATTACCCAGGTATGGTATGGGATGTAGATGATTACGGAGGTATGTTTAGGGATAGGTGTTTACCCAGATATTGTATAGGACAGGATATTTCTTAGATTTTGAATGGGATGGGTGATTACCAAAGTTATTCATGGGACGGGTTAATACTAGTGCTGGAAATTGGTTCGATTTTGAAGATCGATTATCGGACATTCAAGATCGATCGGTAATCGATTATCGGTTGAAATCAGCGCCAAAAAGAATACATTAATAAATTGACATTTTGTCCAATCATTAAAAAAATTGATATAACTACGTGCTATTTTGCTAATAACTTTATTTAAGAGATGTTCATATGATGAGAAAAGGTACTTTAGATATTGACAATGACCGTTTGAGAAGTGGACATACCTTTTCCCATCTCCTGCAGACGAGTCATGATGATAGCGATTGTAACACAAACAAATCAGGTTTGAAATTGAGTCAAATTGAGTTGGTACTGTAAAGTTTATGTTCCACCATCCCTTTGCTGATAAAGAAAGTGTTTTCATTCCGGTGGCCGCCATTTGTCGTACTTCCGGATTTTGTCGGTTATTAGTTTAGCCGTACCTACAAAACACTGCACTGACCTTGATTACGTAATGATGCTATATAACTACCACACTTGAATGCTGTCAGGATTCAAGCGAGAATCAACAAGAACGGGTGAAAGGGATGTTTTATTTTGGATTAAACATGAAAAGCAACTGTATCATGTATCTTAAGAATTTCAGTTCTTCATGACAAATCTACCAAAACGATCTTCTTCATGACAAAGTTTCAAAATTGATCTTTCATGTGCTAAATTGATTATCGAATCAACCTCATGTCAAGCTCAATTTAATCGATGTTTCTGGTTATCGGTACACCACCAGTTAATACCAAGGTAATATATGTGATAAGTGTTTACGCAGGTAATGTACAGGATAGGTGAATGCCCATCTTATATTTCAGATAGGTGATTACCCTGATAAGTATTGGGACGAGATTACCCAGATATTGTATATAAGACAGGTGCTTACCCAGGTAATGTATGGGACAGAAGGTTAAACAGATGTTGCATTACAGTATGGGAATGTATCTATGATGTAAAAAGTTGTCTTTTTAACATTACCAATAAATGGAAAAAACAATATTACTGATGTAATAATTGAAGATTTTGATAATGTAGAACTAATGCTAATTTCTCTGAGTTCCCTATAGTATTTTGTTTTGTAGATGTTTTCAAGGTGCCAAAGGATTGTTCATCAAATCAACTCTCGCAGCAGTCACAGTGGTACAAAACATGAGAAACAGTTGTCTTCTAACATCCTCTCTTCTCTGATCAGGACACTCCAGGATATGTCCACCAACTTCCGCAAAAGTCAATCGGCCTATCTGCGCAGTAGGTGTCCTCATTAGTCACTGCACAATTTTATCTTTGGAAAGGTATTGGAGAGGTTAACTTTAATAACGTCGCATTCTAGAAGGAGTGATGCTACAAAACAATGAGGGAGTTATAGACATCTGTAAAATATTCATTCTATGTTGATACTTAATGCTAGAAACATGTTATTGTGATGGACGTGCAAAACCTGAACCTTACAAATCAATTGAAAATTGAAATGATGAGCAACAACACCACTGAATCCGGTACAAATGTAATGATTGATTTACATCCTAAGTGCTGACATGTTTCGGCCAAAGGGAGGCCATCTTCAGAGCACAGTTACATGATGTTTGCAACTATGGTACAATGACAATGAAGGTCATGTGACTAGATCAATTAAGAATAACTGTGATGTCATCAAGTTGCTAAGAATTACAGTTTGGTAGGGTGAAAAGGTTTAGCCATTTTTGATAAGTGCATAATAGAATAAATGCTAAATAATTTCAGTATGATTATAGATTATATAAAAGTATCATAGTAAATGTGAATGAATGAATTGTAGTATTACAGTATTTCCAATGCAAGAGATGATTAAAGGAACAGAAATAAGGGATAGTAAACATGAAATTAAATGTATCAAAAGTGCTCAAACAAGCAAAACTCTACCCCAAGATCCCTACCGCCACTATGGAACTGACTTCCTTGTAGGGATGTTGGGTCTCCACCCCCAGTTCTTACAAATCAATGTTTAGTCAGCCCCTACTCAGTATTGTACTTAATTGTCCAAAGTTCATGTTTAAAAGGAGAGAGAAATTTCGGACAGGACATTGTTAAGATGCTGTTAATTTCTTTTTTAAAACTTCAGAAAGTGTGGCTTTTTATTTAATGTTTCATAAATTTTGTCATATGTTTTTGTTAATTATTGCAGAAATAAAGAGCAGAGAAGAAAGATCTAGAGAATTTTTCGACACAAATTTAGGACCAGATTCAGCATTGATGTCTGAGGAACAAGATCTGATGTTAGAGGATGATTTTGACAAGGTAAAAGCGTTCACTTTTGCCATTAAGAGTTTCACAGCTAATGACAAAGTTTGTGATTCGTCTCCAAAGCATTTATTTAAAATCCAAAGTTATAACCAGAAGAAGCGATATAAAATACATGTATGGGAATTAAAGAGTTAATTACCATTGTCAAATACAAAAATTTACTGCAAAGGAACAGAATTTTATTATCTCCCGTTCCCTAGATTGGACATTCTATTACACTCCTATTGACTGGTATAAAGTGATTGCCATTTCTTATGCAGTAAGTATTTATGAAAGTGTGCTGTGATAGCTTTTAATCACCTCCTTTGTCCCAGAATTCTAGGGATAACACTCTTTATGTCAAAATTTCAAAATCACAGTTATTGCAAATAATACCTGAAAAAGGGTTTCTGCAAACATTTACATAATGCCAGTGATTTTGGGTACTCTGTTATCAAGACTCTTTGTACGTTTACGGTAATGTTTGTTGTTGTTGTTCTGCCACATCAACCATTGTTAATCACTTACCTTTTTTCCTCTTACAATGCACAGGGCTTCACAACCACACAACTACATATGGTCGAAAATAACTCAACTACAGTGAAACAAAGGGAGAAAGAAATTACCCAAGTTGTCAAATCTATACAAGATCTCAATGAAATATTCCGTGACTTATCCCACATGGTGGTAGAACAGGTGAGTAATTGTAAAAGTATATCACATTTATAAGGCAAAGTATACAGTATTTACCCTATTATAAGCCAACCTGTTCACTTAACAAAATGAATGTGTATGTTAATTCCTGCTCAAAATGGTTCTGAATGATCTAGTTAAAGATTTTCTACCAAAAGAAAATATTTTTTTTAGCCATTTGTGATTTATGATGATATGGTTAACAAATACAAAATTTATCATTTCAATTCCTTTTCATATTATTGTAAGGGTACAGTGTGTTAGTATAAGGTTGGATTTGTGTACAGTCCAGAACAGAGGATGTTAGCAGACAGGTTATTTGAATCTCTTGTAGTTTTACCAGTTGACATGCATAATCAGGAACTGCTATGCCCCTGTATGGTATTTCCACTTAGAAAACAATTTTTGTTTAGTTACACAGTGTCTAGTTTTAAATGGCTACTTTTGGATATTTTATGACTACCATATCTTTGTTGGCTACTTGTTGTTGACAGTTTAATTTGGTGGGGTATTATAGAATTTAAAGCTCTTACTATTTACTTTTGCATTCTAACAATGACACAGCTAAAAGATTATGTTCCTTTTACTTGTTACAGGGCACAGTGCTGGATCGTATAGACTATAATGTAGAACATGCCAGCGTACAAGTGGAGAAGGGACTCCAGCAATTACAAAAAGCTGAGAAGTACCAGAAGAAAAACCGCAAGATGTTGTGTATTGTGATACTGGCTGTGTTAATTATTATTCTAATGATTGTACTTATTGGAGTGAAGAGCTAGCATATGTGTGTATCCTTTAGGTCTTTTTGTTATAGGAGAAAAAAACTTGATAAAAATCCTTTCTAGAACACTATGTGAATGTCTCTATATGTATTCTATGAGCATACACATTTTTAAGTTATAAAGACTTTGCATTGGGATCATTTTCCAGATTTTGATTTTGGAAATATAAATAATCTGTGTCTGAAGTTGAATTACTAGAAGATATTTTTATCAAGTTTTAATCTGGCAATATTGTGATACTTTTACTCGAACAATTTCAACAATGTCTTTTCAATGAAATGTATCTCTACTCCTTGAATGTCACTGGCGATGTGATGGTGTTATAGTGATGAATATTGTTCTTAAAACTTCTTGGCTCTGAAATTTGTTTGTCATTTTAGATGAAGAAAACACTATTCAAAAAACAATCTTAAGTGACTTGTACCATTTCCTACATATAGAGAACACAGGTGCTTATTATATACCATACTTGCCAATCATTCAAAAAAAATTGTGGAAGAAACTGCTTGTCAAAAAAGCTAGAAGAAAAGAAGCTACTTAATGGGACACCATAACTCCTCTTTGACAAACAGGAGTGTAGAAAGTCATAGTTTTTTTCTTCTATAGAGTGAATTTATTGAAATTTAATTTCTTGTGGAACGACTGCTTGGCCAAAAATCAAGAAAAGAAGAAGCTACTTACTTAATTTTTCTATGGAGTGAATTTATGAAAATTGAAAAAAGGAAATATGTATGGATTTCTGCTGGTTAAAATCAAGGATGCAGGTGAACAAACAAGCCTCTCCCTAAGTAAAGAAGTACCGTACGACGCACTGCTGAGGGCACACAGGTAGGGTGTGAGGGCACACAGGTAGGGTGTGATAGTGTTGTCTCGTTATGAAGTGGACTTATGTGAATATATTTAGATAAAAATAATCATATCGGGGCTTGTCATTCATTAAACTTTTCTCATACCCAAATTAAGATACTGTGCTGAAAGCATCTTTTCCTGTGACAGAATCAAAAAGTCACACAGGTATGGTACTTAGATATACATTTTAGATACCGGTAAACACCAATACATTTTTGAAATATTATAATAGAACTTAATTTCTGACTTTATTTAGGAATTAAGCTCTAGTAAGGGTTTGAGTGTGATGAACAAGGACCAAGGTCTTCAACCCATTCCCCCCATTAAGTCACATTCAAACCTTTCTAAATCAAAGACTTGGCAAGTGTAGTTTAATCATGTAGGGGTGAATGAGTTAAAAGGGAAGAGATTTTAAAGGTTTTAAATTTCAGATATTGTACAGGTGTTAAGAACAATTACAGAGCATTCATCATGTTGATGATGGTTGCATTTCAGGGAGGAGAGATATTCTTTCTCGGGACATCTTTAATTGAAGATATATTTGAATGTGAAAGAATGAAGTATGTAGAAGAATCTACATAAAAATGTGTATTTGGAGACTGCAGTTGATCATTGCTTCCAATTGTTGTGTGTGTGGGATTGTGGTTGGAACAAGGTTACACCAGTGGCAAGGTTTAAATTCAATTACAGGTCTATATATAAGCTGTTGTTTACTAATAATAACGTCTTTGCAGAGGAGATTCTACAGAATCACACTCCTTTCTACATTTTCAAAATGTAAGCTACTTTGAATTACTAGAAATCACATGTGTTCTTTTTTATATTTTCTCTTCGTCATAAGATTTTTCTAAAAGTAAGAAATATGTTAAGTCAAGGTATAGATATCTTGTGATGAAACGATAGAGTTACCGGTAATTGTTGTGGTATTGATTAAGTGTTGACCTATTATTGTATGGTATAATGGAATCTTACACAAGTCATTATTATATATTTTCATAGGTAATGAATGTAATCAGTATTTCTTTAATGTTGTCATTTTTAAATTGTAACATAAGTAATAGTCACTGGACATCATTTTAAAGAGGGGAGGTAATCTAACTGCCCATGTGTCGAACAGCCAAGGAGTTTGAAATTATCTTATATTTATCTTATTGATGTGAACAGGTAGGGCAGGGGTTACCTTCTTCTCACCTTCGATCTTCTGACATAATGTGTACATAATATATATCGGATCTTACATGAGTTTCTATTTCATATGAGATTTATGAAACAAGTCTAAGAATTTTTCAATTTAGCAAGCCTCTGGCGAGCTAAAATGTAAAATATGTGGCGAGTTTCATATATTTCATATAAAAAGATAATGAGTGAAAGATCCTTTTTATCACATAATCAAGATTTGTGTCAGTTATTCAAGTAAACCTTGAGATGTAAAAAGCTGCCATTTTGACTCTAGTGCTTAAGTCTGTGATGTCATATACTTGTCCTTGGCGTGACGTCACAATTAAAACTTACAACCAATCGCAGGGCTGATAGGTCATATTACATGGTTAATATGCAAAAAAATACAACATGGGTATATTCACTGGATAACAGAGTACACTATGTGATAAAATGGTTTTGTCGATCATACCAGAAATATCCCTGAATATGAAATTAAATACAAATACTTATTTGGTACTTTAGAGCCAATCTTAGTTGTAAGATAAGTAAATATTTTATGATCAAGGTCCGGATTCCCCATTAAGTGATTGTTAGTTGTTATCGTGTTTATCTCACTTGATTAAGTAAACTGTTTTGAATAGTAGGAATTTACATATGAGAGTTAAAAACATGATCACCATAATTTAGGGGACATCTTCTCCCTTTTTTTTAAAATATTTTAGTATGGCTAAAATGCTGCTGTGCAAATACCCTGTTTCCAACACATGGATGATCCCAGAATCACTACCTGCAGTAGTTGTGGGGGAAACAGCATGGAACTAACATGTATCCAGGCAGTAAAGCCCATAAGGAAGAGCTAGTGTAGTATATGACAATCAAACTGTATTAAATGTAGACTTATTTTAGGCCATTACCAATGATCAAAATTAAACATAGGCAAGTGTGATACAGTATGGTACATATAGTGACTGATCTAGGGGTTTATTGATAATTAAGCAATAAGATAAATTCACAATGGCCAATTTGGTATCAAGATGTTGTTTTCCACAGTTTTAGATTACAGAGTTCTTCAGCTATTATATTGGGAGTGTACTGTATAAAGCTTTGAGCCTCTGTAAGTAATTTTAGGTTTCCAGGTCTTTAAAAGACCTATAAACATGGTTTTATACTTATTGTTAAGTTAAATATCTTTTATAAGACTGTGAATACTTTTTATGAACACTTATTTCATGATCGGTACCGGTTTCAATGCAGGTATAAAAGGACACTTAATGAACGAAGTAAGACATTCATTTCTTAAAATATTTGTGGTTTTGATTCACTGGAAACCTATCTAAGTGCATTTCTGCATCAATAAATTTGTACTGCTGTAGTTTTTTTTATCCCTGTTCAAAAATCTGTATTAATGTAAATTTTATTATAACTGCACAAAATACAATTCTGTTAATGTATGCCATATGTTGTACTTAGGTTATTACATGTGTACAGTACAGTAGTCTGTGGAGGTATAACCTGACTCACTGAAGATACTAGTCATTGTGGGAAGATGGTCAGGATGCAAACAGGGAAATATTTGGGAAATTTATTGTAGACAGTAGAAGCAAAATCAATGGTTTGTATCAACTGTGTTGTGAATTTGTTGTTATTTGTTAACTGAAAGGTGTTTGCGGTAAGATAGGACATGTATTTGTATAAAAGGTAATTGAAGTGTTATATGAATGATCCAGTGTTCACCAGGTTTGGAGAGATGATGCCTTTGCTTTTTAAAAGTAAGATGTAGCAGAGGATTTCTACCTTCACTTAAAGTGGAAATTTAGCAGTTTGACTCTTGCTAACACCAATGGCTGTCATTCTGTACAGACTTTGGTATTACTCACATTTTTAACACATAGGCCACATTCGTTCATTGTGTTCCAAACGGTTGAACCGGTTGAAGTAGAGTTGTTCATTTATAAGGTCAGACCTAGTATTCTGATGTTGCTATCAGGTAAGCCTTGACAAAGCTTTGCAAGTTCGCCAGGATTGATACTCGAAAATGTTACACTTAAAAACTGACAAACTGGTTGAACTGGATACACGAAAGGGTCCTAAGAATGTTTATAACTTGACTATGTCTACATTCCTACAAGCAATGCTTCATTATGGTATACCGGTATATTCATCTTTCTGCCAGTCATTCTTTCATTAAAATCAGTGGGTGATTTTCAAACATAGATATTTCAGACTCCTTTGACATTTGAGTAACCTTGGTCCAGATAAGGTTGTGTGGTTTCAGGACGTTGTTGAAGTAATAGTATTTTTGTGATCACGGAGCCAGGTTAATTACTATTTAATAACCCATTACAGTATATTTGTGTTCCAGCTATGCTACCATTCCATATATATGTGGTACCAAAAACTTGTTTGTTAGGGATGTCGATAAACATTCCAGACTTCTGGTCAATATAGAATGTTTTTACTTCACTTTTACAGAGCTGTTAGCATTGGTACAGTATGACTGTACTGTAAACTACTTTAAATCAAAATCAATTTGTACTAGGCTACTGTACATCATATTCAATTCTCTGCTTAAAGTTCCTTCATGCGTGATTGGTTTCATTTTATTTACTTTCCTCACCAGCTTAACCTCCTATATTACAGTAATGTCTTTCCATTTGTTGAACACACCTTCTATTTGACTAAATGGTATAATGTCTGTCTTCCTGCTGACATCTCATTTAAGTTTTTTTATTTTTTTATTTTCGAGTTGTAAGAGTTTGACAACCATATTCAGGTGATCAGACTACCTATTAATGCAACAAACAGCAACAAACTGTACTAGCAAAACATTGTTTTCTTATCATTTTGTGGAGAAAGAAGAAAAGGTCACAATTTGTATTATTTAGATCTTGACAGATATCTGTCCAGAACTAAGATAGCCAATTCAGGCAATGTCATGCTCACAATTTTGTCATCATGGAGTTTTTATAATGTCTTGAAGGAATATTTCATCTTTTAAATTATGATTATATTAATATTCATTACACTCAATTGAAATGTTTAAGCATTCCTGTTTCATATGTACTGAATGAATTTATCTAATTATTTTTTTCTTATCATTGAAGAGTAAGTTGATGTTGTTTTCTGTTCACAAATTACTAATTAAGGGTACCGGTATATATCCATTTTCAGTTTAAGACTTGTGTGTTCTACTAAACACATTTTAAGAAATACTACTTTCTAACATTTGTAAATTAACTAATCGTTATAACGTTTACACTATAAGAGAAGAAAAACTCTTATTGTTTTCTAGAAAGATAACGTTATTTCAATGATCTCCAATCAACCGAAAATTGGTTTTTAATTTATTTTATATGTGATGGTTGAAAACTGAAGAGTAAACGACACTGGACAATATGGTACATCTTGTAAACTGTGAGTGAAGTATTGTTACGATGCTATAAGGTATCAGACTAACAGAAACAAATCTGTAATATATAATAGGAGGGTGTGATATACAGTGAACTATTGTTACGATGCTACAAGGTATCAGACGATGGTTGAAAACTGAAGAGTAAACGACACTGGATAATATGGTACATCTTGTAAACTGTGAGTGAAGTATTGTTACGATGCTACAAGGTATCAGACGATGGTTGAAAACTGAAGAGTAAACGACACTGGATAATATGGTACATCTTGTAAACTGTGAGTTAAGTATTGTTACGATGCTATAAGGTATCAGATTAACAGAAACCAATCTGTAATATATAATAGCAGGGTGTGATATACAGTGAAGTATTGTTACGATGCTACAGGGTATCAGACTAACAGAAATCAATCTGTAATATATAATAGGAGGGGAGGATATACAGTGAAGTATTGTTACGATGCTACAGGGTATCAGACTAACAGAAATCAATCTGTAATATATAATAGGAGGGCAGGATATACAGTGAAGTATTGATTCGATGCTACGGGGTATCAGACTAACAGAAACCAATGTGTAATATATAGTAGGAGGGAATGATATACAGTGAAGTATTGTTACGATGCTACAAGGTATCAGACGATGGTTGAAAACTGAAGAGTAAGCGACACTGGACAATATGGTACATCTTGTAAACCGTGAGTGAAGTATTGTTACGATGCTACAGGGTATCAGACTAACAGAAATCAATCTGTAATATATAATAGGAGGGGAGGATATACAGTGAAGTATTGTTACGAGGCTATAAGGTATCAGACTAACAGAAACAAATCTGTAATATATAATAGGAGGGAAGGATATACAGTGAAGTATTTTTACGATGATATAAGGTATCAGACTAACAGAAACAAATCTGTAATATATAATAGGAGGGTAGGATATACAGTGAAGTATTGATTCGATGCTACAGGGTATCAGACTAACAGAAACCAATCTGTAATATATAATAGGAGGGTAGGATATACAGTGAAGTATTGTTACGATGCTACAGGGTATCAGACTAACAGAAACCAATCTGTAATATATAATAGGAGGGTAGGATATACAGTGAAGTATTGTTATGATGCTATAAGGTATCAGACTAACAGTAACCAATCTGTAATATATAATAGGAGGGTAGGATATACAGTGAAGTATTGTTACATGCTACAAGGTATCAGACTAACAGTAACCAATCTGTAATATATAATAGGAGAGAATGACATACAGTGAAGTATTGTTACGATGCTACAGGGTATCAGACTAACAGAAACCAATCTGTAATATATAATAGGAGGGTAGGATATACAGTGAAGTATTGTTATGATGCTATAAGGTATCAGACTAACAGTAACCAATCTGTATATCCTACCCTCCTATTATATATTTCAGATTGGTTACTGTTAGTCTGATACCTAATAGCATCGAAACAATACTTCAATGTATATCCTACCCTCCGATTATATATTACAGATTGGGTACTGTTTGTCTGATACCTTGTAGAATGTAACAATACTTCACTGTATGTCATTCTCTCCTATTATATATTACAGATTGTTTTCTGTTAGTCTGATACCTTAAAGCATCATAACAATACAGTGAAGTATTGTTACGATGATATTAGGTATCAGACTAACGGAAACCAATCTGTAATATATAATAGGA